TGAAAAACTCTGGACTTCTAACTTTTACTATCTGTACTTTCCAGGGACTGGAGTGTGAGGGTTTTTACCTGAAGGCCATTTGCCATGGAGCTGAAGACGATGCCTCTAATCAGAGAAGCAGGCATTAATGTCAGTGTGGGCCAAAAAATAAATGGGGACCAACGCAGATGCCCAAAATGCTTCAGTGTCTCCCCGTTAACCAGTTTGCTCTTGGAGGTTGGGTTAAGCTTCTAAGAATTTTTTTCTTTAGGTGGTTTCAAGCCATGAGATCATTCTCTCTCTTTCAGAAAGCAGGAAATGTCTTTCCTGTGTAACAGGCACAGAGCAGTCCCCTAGGGTTTCAGGGGGCTTGTATCTCCCAGTTCCTGTTTCTGGTTTCTAACTGCTAACTCTATATTTGGTAACGGCTGGCCTGCCTGTAGGCTGTTTTGGATTTTGTCTTAATAAGATAACCTGGAGTCACTGAGCAGAGATCTAAAGCAATCTTGTTTTTGCAGGAAGCAACATGTTGACCTTTCAGGATTTGGTCTATTTTATTGAGTGTGTTGCATTTTGGACTAGTGTTGTTTATAGCACAGAGTTGGATGTTTACATTATTGGTCCTTGAGGGTGTGTGACTGTGATGGTACAGGAATAGGGTTCATACACGCTCCTGCTTTCCAATGAGTTTATATTTGTTTCTTATGCGGACTGATGCAATCTAAGGAATGCTTTTTATACATGCTTTTATTCCATAGCAGTCTTGAAAATAGCAACTTGCTCAGAAATGAATAAATATTTGTCAGATGAGTAAGACAAGAGTGTTGATTCTAAGCCTTTTACATCAGGGCCAGAAAGAATCAACACTTCTATTGATAGTTAATAATGTCCTCCTTCCCCCCATATTTTCAAAGCTATGTAGTTATCTGAACATACTCTTTTAGGAGTGAACAAGTCATCAACTATTATTGGCCATGGGAAGAGCCATTTACAAAAGTGTCAAAAAGCCACTGGGTTACTTTTTTTTTTTAAGTGCATTTTATTTTATTTTTTAAAGATTTATTTATTTATGCATGTAGAACTGGGTACAGGCCAGTGGTGCAGGGGCTGCGAGAGTACCCACCAGAGACAGAGTGGGGAGCAGAACAGGCAGATCAATGAAGTACACTGCTGAGGGGAGCAGCGGGCGAAACAGGAGGTGTCTGCTGTGCCCACCTTGCAGTGCTGCGTCCTAAACCATTGCGCCACTAGGGTGTGCTTGGGTTACCTTTTTATCACCCAGGAAGCTCTTCTAACCCTACCTTGGATTGGCTCTTTTGCTTTCCAACCTGAAGAGTTAATGGCCTTTCTAAGATCAGAAAGAATGATTGTACATGTATTTAACAAATGGAGAATCAGGGCATCTAACACACCATAACTATGATAATATCACCTTGGAAATGGGAAAGGTATTTGAGCTTCACAGAGAGCCCTTTGTTTATGAAGTTATCAATCATTAAGCCAAATTCAGAGGATTAGCACAACAGAGCAAATATAACAGCTCAAATTCATCCACCTCTAAGGAACATTCCTTTAATCTATAATATAGATATTGCATGGTTTTACTTTTTCTTCCTAATTTACATCTTATTTTAATTCTTGCCTATTTAATGTTCACTACGGGCAAACAGTTTACCTTGTCTTCAATTGGAAATTATTCTTTCCAAAGCAGGTATATAGCAAATCACCTTTTAAAAATTTAAGCTAAATCAGACAACTCATTCTTTATATAATGTTTTATTTTCCTCTTTTAGTCACTTTAAACTTGCTTTGATACTTAAAATACTGTTTTACAACCCCAAATTAAGCCACGCCATCTGTATAATTATAATGGTTTCATTATATCCCGTGGCAGCGTGTGAAGCATGAAAACACACTCTGGAGAAGTCAGCCTGGGACGTGGACCCTCACTGCATCTCCCATAGTGCCCACGGACGCTGCTTGGCCTTTTAGTTTCTGGCTTCGCAGCTGCCAAATGGGGATCATCTGCCACCACAGTTTGGGCACTGAACACAGCATGCACAGATTCTTGAACAGGCCCAACGAGTGTTATAAATCTTAAAAAAAATAAAGAGTGTTATAAATCTTAAAAAAAAAAAAGATATCTTAAACCTCACTGGGCACCAGAATCTCTTAGTGACAGGACTGGAGTCACAGCAAGTTAGCAATGCAGCGAGCTGCTCTGGAGGAATCTCCCCCCTGTCCAGATATGGTCCCCACTACTGCCGGTAGCTAGCCCTGAGCCTCTGCTCCTTTGATCGTCCCTGCATCCTCTGTAGGTAGATTCTGGAGTCATCATGATTAAAAAGGCTTATTGAGCTCCAAAGGTATCAGTATCTCTTAACTCAGAGATACATCTCCTGTGTCTCAGCGACATAGCCAGGTACAAGTGTCACCTCAGTCATGGAGTCCATGGCGGGCTTCCTGCAGGCATTGCTAGTCCTTCCAGCCCAGAGGCAACAAAGCCGTCAGCACTCACCTATGCCTCTCACACGGCTACCACTGTCTCAGGTCTCCTGGGACCCTGAGCTAGCAAACTGAGAGAGTCAGAGTCTCCTGCAGAGAGGAAAGAGTCTGTGAACCCTCTGTACACATGTCTCTTGCTGTTCCCTATGTCTGGAAGTTTTTGAGTGGAACATTTCTATGGCTTGTTCCTGCACCTTCAATTCCTTTGTGAAAGTCACCTTCCTAGTAAAACTTTTCCATTTGAAATGCTGGAAACACTTCATCTCTGCTGAACCTCCCACCATCCTCATAAACTTTCTTTTCTACCACTTCATTACCTTCTAACATATGAAATTGACTGCTTTTATTTATTTATTTTTTGTCCCATAGAATGAAGGTTTCCAGGGTTGGGCATCAATTTCCCTGGTATTGATAACACTAATCACCTTAAAGTGTCTGGTAACAGCTGGGTTCTCAACAGCTCTTTTTGTTTGTTTGTTTGTTTTGTTTCTTAATAGTATAATAGTTTCCCATCACCAAGTCACCTGTGTGTCATCACCATAGTCCAGTGCACTACTCTCCCAACCTGGTTTTTGATCCCATTCCCCACTCCACCCCTGTAAAATGTCTCTGGTATATAGTCGTTCATTATTAATATTTTTTCCCCTGGTCCTTTATACTCCTGCTATGAGTGAAACCATCCAGTATTTTTCTTTTTCTTTCTGGCTTATTTCACTAAGCATGATCCCTTTCAGCTCCATCCAAGTTGCTGCAAAAGGCATGTGTCTTTCTTTTTGATGGCTAAGTAATATTCCATTGTGTATATGTCCCGCATCTTTTGAATCCAGTCATCTACTTTTCGGCCTTTGGTTTGATTCCACTGTAAATAAATAAAGCAGCAATAAACATGGGGTTGCAGGTGACTTTTTGAATCAGTGTTTTTGTGTCTTTGGGTAGATGCCTAAGTGTGGGATTGCTGGGTCATATGGAAGCTCCATTTTTCAGCAGTTTGCGAAACCTCCAAACAGTTTTGCATAGTGGTTGTACTAGTTTGCATTCCCACCAGCAGTGCAGAAAAGTTCCTTTTTCTCCACATCCTCGCTAGCTCTTTGTTCCTTCTCTCTCACACTCTGCCTTTTCATTGGCAACAATTTTGGAGAAGGGGCAGGCAAAACATTTTGCCCTGCAAATGAAAGAGAGGGACTTTGGGGTCAAACTGTGGGTGGGTCTCAACCAGGGCTTTGCCACTCATGTGAGTGGGCTACCATGAGGATGACATGGATTAAAACTTGTAGAAAGTGCTCAGAAAAGTGCCTGACACACAGGAAGCACTATGTGGTAACAATTATTAAAATCAGCTTTAAAAAGGCTAATTTTAACCTGCACCACTTCTAGCTATTTCTGTCTCTTCCTAGCTGCCCCTCCTCTCAGCGGATCTACTTGAAAGCTGTATCAACTCCACACAGCCTTTACCAAAACTTCCATTTACTTTCCCGACCGTTGCAAATTAGATGTCTAATAACCTAGATGTTGCTCCTCTTCCTGCCATCTGTGAGCAGGTGAGCACACCTCCTGGCTTCTGAGATGCTCCTCCTTCTGGTTCCCGCCTGTCCTTGAGGCTGGCCCTCCTCAGTCTTCCTCAGATTCCTGTTCCTTGATTTACCTATGAACGTCACTCCTGCTACCGTCTCACGCATCCCCTTGTCATGACTTCAGAGCTCATACGGTGACACCCAAGGACAGTTCCCCAAGGATGACGGGTTCTTTCTTGCTTCTATGGTTTTGAGCCTTTTCCCCTCTTTCTGGCATATTCTTGAACTCCAATTCCTTCTCCCTGACTCACCTATTTCTCCAATTTTTAATGTAAGTATCAATTTTCCTTTTGTTCCAAGCTGAGTGTCCCTTCTGTACTTACTATGTCTCTATCCTAGCAGCACACAAACTTTTCTGAATGCTGGCTTATTCAGTTTTCCCTTAGAAACAAACTACTTATAGGTAACTATTTCCCCAAAGTATAGTCCTTGGCATACAGTAGTATGAAGATATATCTGGACTCAATATAAGAATGCGCAACATCTATAAAATAATAAATTTTGATTGGATCATGCATTAAGTCATAATTAACCATTGGGTAAAATATTATCTCATCAAACATTAGTTCATCCAGAAAACCTTACCAGGAGGCAGTATAATTGGTGAAGAAAAGCAAAAAGTTCAACTTTTGCAACATAAACAGCACTGTGGATACAGTTGCCATTTATATTTTACTCTAAAGACAAATCTGAAAGATAAGGGACTCTATGTGATGTTAATGAAATCAAGTTACTTTACCATAGTCAACCACAGTTTGGCTCAGTGAAGTCTTACACATACCATATTTACCTTATTAGGAAAGCAAAGTAAATAAGTGTTTGGGCTCCCTGCCATGCTTACACACACTACACACAAGTAGAGCGACTTACACTTACATGGCTCAAGATCACATGCTTAGTTCCTTTTAGAGGGTTCAGTCGCATAGCTCTGATCCCCACACTTACCTGTAAAGTACATCCGAACACACCGATCATCAGCATGGCCACGGAAAGGTAGTCGGTAAACACGTCCCACCATGGTTTCAGCACCCGGAAGGCCGGCTGCTGCTCAGAGAACTGCCGAAATTCTGTCACAGGAATCATGTTTCTGAAAAAGGAAAGGTTACCAGTGAATGAACTTATCTCCATGCATTGCATCATTCACCAAATTTGAAATGCTGCTTCAGCTGGTCAGTGACAGAGCTCTGAACCTGTCTGGAAGCTGCTGCCACATCTCAGTGTTTTAAGAGACCACTGAGTAGGGGCTTCCCTGGTGGTGTGAGGAGTTGAGTCTCACCACTGTGAAGCTAGCCCCAGCCACTGCACCATGGAGTTCGATCCTTAGCCAGGGACACCTCCCCCATGATGCTCAGACCTCTCCTGTCTCACATGCTGCTCCCCTCAGCAGTGTATTTCAGTAGATTCACCTGTTCTGCTCCCCACTCTGTCTCTGGTGAATCCTCTCACCCCCCCCCCCCTTGCACCTCTGGCTTACACCCCAGCTCTTGTATGCATATATAAATAAATCTTTAAGAGACCACTGAGTAAAACCATCATTCTAGGAAACAAGGAGCCTCCCAGGGTAAAAGCAAGCACCTCTCCTGACAATTATTCACGCAGAGGATCCCCCTGTGTCCCATGCACAAAGAGAAACATGGCCGGAATAGCTCATTCATTCCCTGGATTCCCCTAAGCAGAACACGACAATGCTATAAAGAGTGGAGTCCATCCTTTGAAATATTTTTTGCTATTTATCTTACCATCTTGGAGTTGTGGCTTTAAACGTTGAATCATTTACTTTATTGGAGCAACACTGGTTTACAACACTGTGTATATTTATGGGCTTAAGTCCATTCTTTTTCACACCATGCTCACCACCAAAGCACCAATCACCCTCCTCCATCACGCTCCTTGGGTCCCCCCTTCCCTTTGCTGCCCACCCTGACACTCCCCCTCGGGTAGTCACAATTCCACAGCAGATTTCTCTGCTCTGTAGTTTTTGTGCCTTTACTCTGTTTCTTTATGTCACATCTGAGTAAAATCAACCGGTGTTTATTTTTCTTCTTCTGACTTATTTCATTTAGCATAATACCCCTTATTTTCATGCATGTTGTTGCCAATGACAAAAGTCCCATTTTTATTTTTTGTTTTTAAACTTGTTTCTTTAAATGTATTAATTTTATTTATTCCTATACATTTTTTTACATCATTCTTCATCTTGTGCATTTTTTCATCTTAGTTGTAATCCCCATGGGCTTTTCACCACCAATTCACCTGTGTGCCATCACCACAGTCCAGTGCATTCTTTCCATTCCAGTTCCAATCCCATTTCCCCTTTCACCCCGATAAAAAGTCTCTGGTTTATAGTTGTTCATTATTTTCA